TTAAAGTCCAGCCTCTGTCTGCCACAGAGAGGTGAGCTGTTAGTAACATGAACTGATGTCAGTTCGGTGTCTGATTTAAATGATTTTTGTTTTTCCTGGTTTCTAAAATGCATCTCTGTAGGAGAGCAGTGTCTCAAAGGACACAAAGGCTCAGGTGTAACGGTAATTTTATCTGGTTTTAAGACACATTTGGACAGTACTGGCTGTTTTCAACTATTTATTTTAACCCTTAAAAAAAGGTTGAGGACCCGCTCCACTTTTTGCATAAATATTTTTAAATCACTGTAGAACTGGAACCAGGTGAGGTAGCGCAATATATTTTTTGCATATGAAATGGGAGGAGTTGTGCTTACATGTTATGCCATTAGCTTGTCCTAGCTCAAGGTTTCTTCCACATACCTTTGCAAAAACTTTGTAAAAAGCATTTACAGCAACAAAAACATAATATTCCGGTTGCTGTTTTGACAGTTTTGCATTCAACACCAATTTATTTGCTTTCATAGACATTCTTTTTCTGCATTAGAACGGACCTCAGGTTGGACAATCTAGTTGCATCATTACACTGTTACCAAAAAACTGTAAATGTTATATAAACAATTACGCTGCAACGTTAAGCAGAGAACCCTAGACCTCCCTCTGCTCAGCATTATTAGTATAAATGACACTGATGATTACCAAAATACTTACCTGGGTCTGGGTCAAAAAAATTGGCGCGGGCATTTTGACTTGAGACCAGCCCACCAGGTATTATAGGCAAAGCCATAAAGCCCTTGAATGAAAGCAAACACTGTCGTGACAGTGATGTACACTGTCTTGTTGGTAAATATGTAACAATCTAATAAACCTAAACCCATGCTATCCTCCCTATTCTGGTATTTTAAAGAGTATTTAGTGGAAATATTAATCAACCTAATACGGTTGCCAACTCCCAGCAAAAAAATAGGTAACCACCCCCCCACCCTCAGCTTCATTATGCTTAATCGACAGAATCGACTTTAATGCATGTGTAAAACAAATGAACAAAAATAAATTATTTCCTTACAATAATTAAATAGATTCAGCTTTCTTTAACAGAATTGCAGACTGCACAGATGGTACCTTCCCAAAGGAAACAGTAGCTTACTGGGGTAAATCTTAGACTTAATATTTACTACATACAATAATGGATTTCTATACATTTTAAATCAGATGAAACATTTGGTTATAAGATTCAGATAGTTATTTATTAAAAATTAGACATTTGAAATGAGAACAAAAAAGAAAAGTATTTATTTTTGTCCCCCATTCCCTGTTAATGCCCTACCTGGCTCCCTGGCAAAACTTTGCTAGACCCGCCCCTGCAAAGTTACCAGCTGTCAGCTTCATAGAAAAGGATCCTGGTGTTATTTGTCTCTCAGAAAGAGTTCATAACTTGGAGAGGATGAGAGAAGAAGAGCCCCCTGTGCAGCGCAAAGACACAGAATAACTCCAGCTGTGTGCTTTTTTTTAAATTCTATCTGAAGTACAGGAGAAATCGCGTACCTTTTCACCTCAATACGGAACTTAAAGTCCAGCCCAGCCCAGAGTTGATCTTGACCAGTTGGCCAAGCCACCACCTTTTATTGTTTATACCGTTACAGCCCACCCGCCCCCCCCAAAACAACAAAACCG